TTTCACCCTTAGTCTTCTGCCGTGTCCAATGTTATGCGCGGTGCTATGAGTATAATATAACAAGTAACCGTCTTCTCCTCTTCTTCCGCACAAAAATTGTCTCCTACCTGTGCACTTCGTGGAGGTTCCTTCAGCTGCTCTACAACATGGGTTAGACCACTCTCCATGAGCTCCATAGTCTCATCGTCGGCCATCGAATCGACTCTTTCTCGTAAAATCTGAATATAATATTAGTAAAGACTGATCTTATAAAGTTTCGCTTGAGGAAGAAAGCGATAGTTCATGATTTTCCCAAAAAGATCATATTGGTTGTTAATATAAGATTCATTTGAAGCGTAAGCATGAATACAGATCACCTACATGGAGGTCTTGTACCTCAATAGTACTATACGTCTGTATAACGTTGTGTGTGGTTCAGCACTATGTAAACGCTAATGAAATTAACAACATTGGAAACGTGTCTGATCAGGTTATTATTCTATTCAGCTCATTGCATTATAATATTTGATAGCTTGAAACAAAGTTACGTAAAGTGCCAAATTGTAGTAATTTGAACTGAATGGACATGGCCTAAAGAGTGGAAATTAGATGATTATTAGTGATAAAGAGTGATCATTCATGGGCACTCTGTATAGGGCAAAGAAATGATACAGACAACACTAAAAGAAGTTATTTTTGAGTGCAAAAGACCAAGAATGATAATAAAATTTTAGATGCCAGTGTAACATCTGTAAGCAACCCGACGACTTAAATGCTTGAAATCCGCAAAAGGTGCGTACCTGCATCATTTGCTTCAGCCGCGCTTTTCTTCTGTTCTCTGGACTTTCCCTACTTTGTACATCATTGGCGGAACTGCTGCTATCAGGAAGCCCCAAACCATCGTCAATTCTACCCACCTCACCCAAAGCACCGTTCAGCACCGCTTCCTCGACCAACTTGAAAGATTCATAGTTGTGTTAAGCAAGATTCATTCGTGATTACCTGTTCCGCTTCTGGGCCTTCAACTACTTCATCGAGTACTTCTTCTTCGGCTACAACAACATATTCACCAATCTGCAAAAAACTTTTCCATCGAAGTAGCGACACGACTGAGATTGTGGATTGAGAAAAAGAACCTCCTCTTCAATCTCCACTTTCATTCGTTTATGATTGAAGTCGTCAAGATTATCCATTTTTGGACCAGGCGAATTTGACTCCACTTCAACGGTATGCCGAGGAGGACTCATCACGGTGCCATCTGCCAACAATTGTGAGGGATCTCTGTGAGGTGTCT